GAAAGATAGCTTTCTGTTATTCGTGTCCATGCCACTCTAAACAGAATCTGGAGGACATTCAGATTTCGGCAGGAGCAGCAAGAATTTCATGCTATGACATTCCGAGGTGAAAGTAAAACTTGATTAAAACTTAATAAGCTGAGTTCCCTCCATTATATGACAGCTGTGTGCATCTGAAGCAGTAAGAGATGCATATGAATGTATAGTAAATTATCTTGTCCACTTGTGGGCACAAGATAAAAAATATTTCCTTTTGGGAACTTTAGGGGCTCCGTACAAACCAAACACTGGCTGTAGATTGGACCTTTGCATTTTTCATAAGTTTTAGCCACCAGATGGCAGCAATGTTCAGTTGGTTGCAATCAGCAATTTAACTGCTAGATGCCATTAAATCCTACACACTGGTCCTTTAAAGGACCCCTTATCACTGACTACATGACATATTTTATGGATATTTCATATTATATTCAATGCATAACAATAACAGTTGGGAACAACTAATAAACTGTATAATGAACCCAGTGAACACAATGACTACAGGAAGTTTGTTTGAAATTAGCCATTTGGATGAATTTATTGCATTTTATTTTACTACGAGTTTTACTGATATTTTTAAGAAACTTTTATTCAATTCTCTGTCATCATTTTGTATTATCCTATTTTGAATAATCATACATATGTAATAGTGTTCATCTTACATAATCAATCATCATGATTTTAGTTTTCCTCATAGAATGAATGAAATGCTGACATAAAGGCTTAATGTGCATATTCTTTCATTTTCTTTCACCCCTTAAAATCAAAAAGGACTCGCAACCCCCTACTGGTGGTCCTGACATTATCATCCATGTATTATTAAAACGTTATCAATATTTCATTTTTAAATATTGCGATTATTGTCAACATTGGTATACTGTGACACCCATACCTGGCACAATGAATAGCCAAAACAAATGTAATGTCTATAGTTGATTATATGTCCTCCTCTGGATCAAACTGGACACACACAGTCTCACATGACCATCCATAAATGATAATTAACACAAACACTGATCATTGTTAAACCATAAGTTTATTTGTTCACACAGCCAGGATTCACACAGGTTATTGCAGCAGTACATGTGGAAACGAAGCAACACGGAGCCCGACGAGTCGTGTTTCTATACAGACAGGAGTGAGAAATACACAGCAGACATATTCAGTCCTTGATGTACAGCTACTGCTACAGCATGCTTTTTTTGCTCGCTTTACCAAGCACTAAATATTATTGAGCCGCATGAAAGTTTACACCCAGCCCGAGTGTGTACATACCCATTTAGGTACAACTCCACAGCCAAATTTAAAGTTCAATAGCTGCAATCCAGAGAGTGCTTTGCATTTAGCATTAATGAGTCACATTCAGTACAGGTCAGGTCTTTTCTAGGGAACAGTTGGAGACAATTGACACACTGTATAGTCTATAACCATGTGTGAAATCTCTGTTAAGTTTTGTTGGTAACACAACAATGCATTAACCTTTTTTATTTCACAAAGCTGATCTCTATGGTTCGTGCAGTTACTGCTCTGATTGGCTCACACTGGAGGAGGGCTGATTCTAGTCTAGTGTCTATGTTGAAAAAAACCTGCAAGGCTTGGATGTTTCTTTGTTGCTGTCGTCATTAAAGCTGCAATAGGTAACTTTTACAAAAATACATTTTCGTCATTATTATGAAAAAATCTGGTTCCTCTGGCTCCTCCTAGTGCTCCTAATTTGCCAGAATCCACAGGACCTGAAAGAAAAAAACCAATCAGACATGAAAAAGATGGGTGATTGCTGAGTCTCATTTCAGGTCGACGACCTGGGAATGTGGATTCTTACATTCTGCACTAGGAGGAGCCAGTGGAACCTGATTGTTTCACAGATTATCTGTCATGTACTACTGTCAGGATATAGTGAAAGTTTCAGTGAATATGACAAAATTGTCAAACAAGAAAAATATCTTTTTTTTGTCAGGACAAGGTCGGGAATGGATGTCATCAAGATCCTGCTAACATGCTGATCCAGATTTTCAGTGTGACCAAAAGTATTTTGGATTGCAACATTCTTGAGGACACACGTCTGTATGTCAAATGTTTTATCTGTATAGTCTGCTGTGATTTGTACATTGTTTTTACAACAAGTTTTTCTTTTTGGAAATGACCACAAAGGCTTCAAAGACTAGAGTCTAACCTATCCATGCGTATTACATGTTAATAATCAAGTACCTTTTCATTGGATGAGCTAGCAGTGTGTGAAAGTTCTATGTAGTGCTAGTGTTGCTGCCCAATTGGTACTGATACCGATAACAACATGTAGCATTGTGTGGGTAGAACAGTGGGTGGTTAAAGAATAAGTCTGGCAAAAATGGGATTTATTAGCTAACATCAGCTTAATCCTTGAAGCTCTGAGGTTATTTTGTTTCTTTAGCGCAAATGTTACTGAACTGGGACTTCCTGCTACTTCAGCTCAATTTGACTAAAACTAACATCAAGAGAAGAGGCATTAATTGGCAATCGAATCACTTGTGCTGGCTGAGCAATAAACTGTTAAAACTGCAGTAGGTAATTTTCATAAAAATAACTGTCATTATTGCTGTTTTAACTGTGTTCTGACAGTAGAACATGAGACAGATAATCTGTGAAAAGATCAGGTTCCTCTGGCTCATCCTAGTGCTCCTGGTGGATTCTTGCAAATGCCATTAGGAGCACTAGGATGAGCCATCTGTCTTGTATACTTCTGTCAGGATATAGTTAAAGTTTCAGCAAATTTGACAAAAAGTTTATTTTCATAAACGTTACCGACTGCAACTTTAAAGAGCTTGGGTCACTTTCATGTCTCAGTGTGGTATTAACTGTTCATTCTCTAACTTTATCTCAAGGTAACTGACTAATAACCCAAAAGCAGATGCAGCTCCTCTCTAGGCACTTTGTTACATCTATTCCTAATGCTTTTTGAGCAAAACATCCTGATAACACTTCCCAGCTCAACTACTATTCATTTAATTACACTGGTGGGAATACAATCAGAACATTAATATGACCACAGATGAGCAAGGTTTTCTCAACAGACAAGCTTGTTGGTCTGGTTGTTGAGCCCGATTGGAAAAGAATGGATGTCCAGTGTTTTGTTGACGGTTACTTGCAGTCTGCAGGGAAGGCCTCGGCCACGGCCTCTGTGCTTTATCATATCGTAAAAATTATGATTTGAGAAATAGCTCGAAAAGTTACAACATGGCTTTTTAAAAGCAAGCGATTCCGTTGCTTTCACCTCTCCAAATGAAACACACTCACACACAGGTCAAAGCCCACACTGATACACAGTCACCTGGCTTCCACTCAAAAGTCCACTGCCTTAAAACAGGCTCAGATTAGAAGATATTCAAGATGATTTAGCCCTAATTTGCCCCTCCAAAAAATTGCCTGCAGTGCTGATGTTCAGCACAGAAATTCTACCAAACCTCAGGAATTTTAAACCTTTTTGATATTTGCGAAAAATCTTCAATTAACAGACCAGACACACAAATCAACTTTGTGGAAATGTGCCCACAGTAAAGAAGAAAGTATGTAGAGACATCTGTAAGAGCCTCAGCATGCTCGAAACAAAGTGCTTGCTGGGTTATCTGAAGGTTGGGTAGAAAAGGAAGGCTTTGGAGACAACTTTTGTAACTTTCCTAAACAGACAGACCAACAATGGATGTATTAGGAAGTACTTCATATCCGGTTCCCAGATAGTGCCCCATTCAATCCTATGAAAGTTGCTCAGTGTGCATAGAGCATGCTCAATGGAGTACTTCTCAACCTGAGCCAGTTGGGAGCTTGTGTGTTAGCAATCTCGGAACCCAACAGCCAATGTTTCAGGGCTTCCAGTGTAGCCAATGGACATCCAGATAGCCGATATCCAATGTGATGAAAAACCGAGAAACTTACTCAAAATAATGTCTTAGTATCTCAAAATACTGAGAACTTTCTTAATATCCAAAGATGCTATGTCAATATTTTGAGTTTCTCATTATAATGACTTACAGAATCCTTTTGTCCCATCACATTTGGCAGAACTGGGCTTCCACAGTTATCTGTATACAAATGCTGGAAAAACTCATAAATACATTTTAAAAAAAGTTAATAAAAAGCTAAATTGTTGTTAGATGATAGCCGATGGCTTCCGAGATTGCATTTCGGCCACTGTGTTCCACTTCTTTTGCTCTCCACACAAGCCGTAAACCTGAATGCAACTAAAGCCTGTTCAAACGCAGGTATCTTTACAGAGCGTGTTTTAGACTTCTTGTTGACTCGCCTTTTACACATGAATGGGATCAAATAATTTAGTGATATGGCTTTTCAAGAATTTCACAACCGTTTTGCCCAAATGGATTGCATTCTGATAAAAAGATTCATTTTAGAATGTTTGTGTTGCTCATAAAAAATTATATGATTTTGTCATGACTGAGCTGTGGGCATCACCAAGTGTGGCCCAGCACTGGGGGTTGGTTTTGAGAGGAGACACTGAGCAGGGTTTGAATGTCTCTCTTAAGTTCTCTTATTTCTCTCTTGTCACATTTCTGTCACTTTTCATGCAATCAACTGACATCACGTATACCTTCTGAGGAAAATCATCTGAAACGTGCACACTGTTTTCTCATTTGTACAATTCACTGCATCTAGACTACAAAAACACACAATACAGAATTCTTGAAGAGGGATCAAGGAGGCAGTGGGATGCAGCCAGGAGGAGGCTGTGGCCATTCACAACAGAAAGAAAAACTTTTGTCTTTAGACATGGACAAACCCTGCCTTACGAGGCAGCACGAGTCTCAAGATCAGAGTCCATCTTGCCAGGTTTCAAGCTATGTGTTTGTGTCCAACCACAGTGGTTCAGACCAATCAGCATCCAATAAGGAACTACTGGCAGCTACAGCACAAGATACTTCATTGTTTAATGGTAGAAGTCTGCTAGGTATTCTCCCCCTCCCCCTCCCCCGGCTGGTGTTCAACATGAAGCCATTGTGATACTGAGGTGGGGTATAATAGTTTAATAATAATTAACTTTGTCCTTTTCACAAGCGACAATCACATCTTAAGTTAACTAATGTTAGCAAAACACTAGCTAACTAACAATTGATGTAGATTAGGTAGCTAGTTAGCTAGCGTTTCACTTTTGTTAGCTATCAGATGTAATTCACTCATTAATGACTGATGCAGATTAGCTTGATAGTTAACTAGCATTTTGCTAACACAAGATATGACTATATACATCTCTTTTATCTTTTAACCAACATAATTGGTAGTTGCTTGTTAGGCAGTAGGCTCCATGAAGCAACACCACTGAAATGTGTGAAGCTGTAGCAGACGTTAGCATTGCAGTACACATTTTCGACTTTGTGTTACACAAGAACATGAGAACACAACGTTATCGTTTGTATTGTTGCACACATTCCTCGTGTCATGTCTGTAAAACACCTACAGTACATCTTATAGATTTCTTTCATCATGAAGTAAGTTCTGATGCTAGGCATCTAACATCTGCAATGTTGTATGTAGACAGGTTATTAATGGAAAAGCTGAGTTTTACATTCTCAAATTTCTAATCGTGTCTGACATTAAGATTTTTTGGGGAGTTTTAAAGGACTGGTCTTTAAGTAGTATGTATGTTATGTAGTATAATACATTGTGTTTTAAAAGAAACAATAAAAAAGGGTTGTGTGTTATAACAACAGCTGGCAGCTGACTGGCATGGGATGACAACCTGGACCCAAAAACCCAGTTCTGTGTTCAGATTAAACACTTTCATTATTTCAAATAATAACTAAACTAAAATTAGAAAAAAGAAAAGCAGTGTAAAGTCTTGACTTTGCATTGAATGCAGGGAGAACATGAGATTTTAGGATAGAGCCTAACCATTTTAATGTGTTCCTATGCTGAGAATGAATGAACGCAGACTTTGGATACACTGTCGATTCCAATGGCCGCTGTTCCTCTAATCGTTGCCTGGAGTCAGTTTCTGCTCTGTCGTAGCGAGGATAGGAGGAGGGGTAGCAGGTTGAGAGTAGGTCGATGCTCCTGCACCCCAAGTGCCACCAGAGCCCCCGCCAGGAGAGAAGTTACTCTGGGCAGGACAGGGGGCTGAGCCGGCATCATCTGCAACACAAACAGGAAGCTCAGCATGATGGACTAGTCATTGGTTGACATTTTAAATTCAAACACAGAAAGTGAATGGCACACATCTGTGTGTTCACATTCATTTCTACTACCGACGGCAATGAGAGACAGGGTTGAAGACTTTCAGCAAGGGTTGACATTAAGCGTTTTCAGCCTGATATCACAATTTACTTGGAAAATGTAGGCCTATTAAACCTGCAGTAGGTCAATTTCATTAAAATAACTTTTTGTCATATT